TAGTCATCCTATCTGTAGTCTTAGACATCATGGAGGAGAGGCAAGTCATCCTTGCTGTCTTCTGTCCACATTTTTTTTTTACCTATGTATGGACAAGATGATATGGTATTATTTTACTTTGGAGTGGTTTGTTACACAATAAAAGATAACTGGAATATGTGGTAACTGAAACCATCAAGAGTAATGAGATCACTCAGGGAGAATGGGGAAAGGGAAACAAGAACAGGGGAAAGACTGTAGGGAGCCCCAAGCTTTTAAGGGAGGTGAGGGAAGAAGTTTAGTGGAAAAATATGAGAAATAGAAAGGTGGCAGGGGGAAAACATGGGGCTACCAGGAGACTGTGGTGTCATGGAAACTAATGAGTATGTTTCAAGGATGAAGTAGTTGTTAACTGTCAAATGCTGTTGAAAGGTCAAGTAAGATAACTAAAAATGTCTTTTGGTTTTAGTAACAAAGACAGTGGTGACTCAGCAAGAGCAGCTTACTGAGAGCAGATAACAAAATTAGCATTCTTTGAGAAGAGAGTAGAGATGAACAATAAGAAAAGGGGCTGGCCTTATACTGAAAGGAAGCTACTGTTTTTCTCTGACAGAAGAGAAGGGAAACCATGTAGATCCCACTAAGTCTATTTTGTCATAGGAGGTTAGGGAGTCTCCTTCTGGGAATTTGTTTTCTCTCCTGAGTTAAATGTTTGGAAGGAAGAAAAAGGAGAGGTGTTTGTTTTCACTCTGTGCTCTTAGCTTAGGTGGGGTCCCCCTGCCTGGCATCAGGATCCGTATAATCTCCTCAATTTAAGATCCAACTTTTTCCATGCACCGAATGGAGTTGGGCAACTAATAATCTTGCATCTCATCACATACATGAGACCTTGCCACAAGCAGAGCAAGGATATTAGGGTGGGGTTGGGGAGCTGAAGAGTTCACTGCTAGAGGTATAAATATAACCATAAATTCCTTGATTTAGCCTCCAAGCACCTTTACTTAGTATTTTAGTCAAATTCTTTTGAAACTGCCTACCCATCTGAAATGTATCACAGGGATCAAAAGGATGAGATTTGTGCACCCAGAATCAGGGTGGGTTCCCAGATGTAGTGATACGTCGGGGCTGAGCATCCCACCAGGAAGCTGTTGAAAGGGATACTTTGTTGATTCGGTTCTGATCATGATCTGATTTTACTAATGGGGAAACTAAGTCTCAGCTCAAGGAAAGGACTTGCCTAACATTACACAGCAACTGTAATGAAATTAAACCCAGTATAAAATCCATGTACCCATTTTTCCTCAGTGATTTTTCCTTGATACTCAATTATTAGAGCTGAGGTAGAAGGGAGGTAGAACAGGTAAGTTGCCCCATTATTTGTGTCAACATAGATAAAACTGAAGATCATTATGTTTAAGCAAAATAAGCCAGGCACAGAAGGACAAGTACCACATGATCTCACTTATATATGAAATCTAGAAAAGGACAAAACAAATGAACAAATCCCCAAAACTCAAGTACATAGACTTATTTTAATAGTCATTTCACTATTGTGTGTTTATCAAAACACCATTCTATATACCTTAAATAAAAGATATTTAAAGGAAAAAAAAGAATAAGAAAAGGTTGGAGGTTCTAGAAGGCTGCTTTTCCACCAACAAGGGCAAGGTGCTTTTGGCCTCACTCCAGCAGATGGTCACTGATGAATGCTTGTGGGCTAAAGGGCTACCTCCAGTTCTTGGATCCCTTTGACAGAATTTTTCCCAATTGAGTCCTTCCTCCTTCAGTCTCCTTACTATTCTTTCCTGCTGGACCTTTTGCAAGGCTTCAGAGTTTTCAGAGTGTCTTTTTTTCCAAGCCATCCTGGGATCCCGCTGAAGGATGTCATAACATAGATGCATACTGGATGGGCCAATGGATATGTCTGAGGTATTTAGGCAGGTCTAGTGCTCAGTCATGCCTTCTCTTGTCTTCAGTAATTTAGCAAGAGGTACTAATAGATCCTTAATGAACCCCCAGATTTAAAAGCCCATAGGAGCAAACAATTATTTAATTAGGATGAAGCTATTTAAAGTGGCTTAAAATAGAGCACATTTATTAGTACTTGGATGCTCCCAGAGCTGCCTTAGAAGACTGCACATTGGGTTTGTTTATTTCCATTAAGTTTCCATTGATCATGATTTGGCTAGTCTCTTCTCGAACACCACAGAAGAAATTCTCCTCCATGTAGTTAGCATTCAGTTATTCAGTAAATACTTACTGTTTTCTATGTGGTACATAGTCCTCTAGCAGCCTCTAGACTGGTACCTTCAATAATCTGCTTGGATCTCTCTGTCATGTTCCTAATACCATAAAATACTCCAACCCACGATATTGAGATTTAAACTTTAGTGGATCTCAGCAGCAGAAATGCTGATGGGAAAAGTTTGAGCTTTTCCCTATGACTAGGGGCGTAATTTTTAGAGGCAAGGTGGTTTCAGAAGGTTTTTAAGGAAGCAACACTTAAATCTTGGTAATTAGACAATTTTATATAAGAGGTTGCCTTCTGTGTCTTGTAGTTGTTTTTGGAATGTGACTGAACTTGTCAGGGACTAGAATTACTGTAGTAATAGCACACGCATCAGATGATCACAGGGTTGGAACACGCATCAAGGATCAGATCATCCAAGTCCCTTCCTTTATTTTAAGTGAGAAAACCCTTTTTTTAAGATCTGAAATTCTCTTCCCATCCTTTAGGACCCAAATACTTTTCCCAAGTAAATCTCTTGAGATTATTTCCCAGATTTCTTCTTACTCTGCAACATAAAGAATCATCTTCCATTTCTCAACACTCACTCTCATTCTGCCTAATAATACTAAGAGAACTATTGCCTAAGGGAAATAATAATCAATGGAAAAGAGAAAGCCTTTAGAATTATAATGACAATATCTTTCTTTATTCCCAGGGAGTTGATGAATATAGCATAGGAAGCAACACATCTGTTTCCTTCTCTCTTATAGTGGCCAATAAGACCATTGAGTGATAGAAGCTCTGTTTTTACATGGGCTCCATCACTGGAATGTTGTTCTTGCTTTGAGATAACTTTCTTCCAGCTTATTCTAATGGTGTTAAGTGTAAGAAAGGGTGGCACAAGAACAGGGGTGTACTGTCTGCAGTAGGCAAAGAGTGACCAATAAAAGTTCTCCAGCCCAAGTACAACTCAGAAAGGGTTTAATAAACAGCCGCTAAACATTGCACCAAAGCATTTGGAAACACAATTTCTACAGAGAGGCAAAGGTCAGGCTTCCATTCTAAATCCTTGACAATCAGTAACGGCCCCGCCCACCCCCACCCCCCATCCCCAGTTATCCACGAAACTACACTCTTCTAGTCATGAATTTACCTACAGACACAGTCTTAGGAATAATGGGACTGGCATGCATTATCCCAGCAATGGCGAGGAAGCAGGGGATGGGGGAAAGATGGATGAAAGGGCAACCAGCAGCTAATGATACACCCCTTAGGAGCTTTGTTCAGGGGGCAGGCAGGGAGAATCTGCTTGTAGTGCCATCTGTGGCTTTACCTTGAACTTCCAGGATACTCTGCACTAGTGTAATATTCAGATCCAAAGTGGCTAGAGCTGTGGACTTAAAGAGTCTCATTCTTTAAGTCATGACTATTACAGTGGTCTTCTTGGGGGATGCATTATAACTTTCTAAAGACCTTTTTGGTATCTCAAAAATGTGCGCTCATGACCCAGAAAGCTCACTGACATTGTGTTGATTCTGAGTCACAGTGGACCTGACTTCTCAGTTCTTTCTTCATTTTGGCCTTTGGAGAGGGGCATATGATAGTTCTTTATTAAAGATACTTGAAGGGACCCTAGACAACTATTCAAACTTCTGGGACTCAGTTTATCTACTTATAAATTTTTTAATTTATGCCTGTCCCTTTTACTCACATTAAAATTAAGAATGAATGAGATTAAATGGCCTGTAAATAATTCATTATAAAACTGGTAATAAAGTTAATGATTTAGTTGACTCAAAGTTAACTAGAAATATTTGTATGAATCACCAGTTTTCCCCTCATAAGAACTGGCATTCACAGATGACCAGAGGTGCCTGACATGGTGGGAACAAAGTGCCTGAGATTGGGAAGGGTGTGGATTTTGGAGGATATGGAAGGAAAAACTTGACTTGATTCTGCCAGTGACCCTTTCATTTGCACCAGTCTTCAATCCTTAACTACCATCAACCCCTCTAATCACATCCAGTATTTGACTATTGCCTTAGCAAAAGAGGTAAGTTTCTTATCTTTCCCCACTTTTAAAAATTCTCGTAGAAGCATTCAATGTAGATGTTTTTTTTGTTTCTGTTAACATCTTTTTGTTTAAAGGCATAGAAGAGAAATTTCCTGGAAGAGAGCTATACCAAGCACAAGTGTACTTTCCTGAGGGGCTGAACCTCACAGGGCTACAGCCATCTCGGTGCCAGTCTGGCCCAGTGGGTTTTATTTGTTTTGACCATACATGGTTGATAGTTTTGAGCCTTCATTGTCCTCACTAACTTCCAAGCCAAGAAAGGGATTGGGGATGATGAACATAGGTTAGTACTGGCTTCTTCCTTTCCTACCAGTTCTTATGCTGTAGGCAGAAGAGGTGGCAGACAGGACTATGTGTGATAGGCCTGCCTGGCTCCCAAGTGAGTAAGAGTTGTCTGGTCTAAACCAGTCAACAAATCTTCTCAGTCTATACCTCTCAAATAGCAAAGGCTACCACTTTAGGGAGCAGAGTCCCCAGTTCTTTCTGCAGTGGGCAGAGTGCAATAAAATACATGCAGTGCCCTCAGCTGGGGGAGACTGGTAGACTAAGATGAGCAACTGGACAAATGGCAGTGTTTGGCTCAGATGGGGGAACACTAAGCAATGTCAGAGGGACGAGTAATTTTTCTGTTGTTGGACTTTCATTGAGATTCATAAATATGAATTGAGAGTCAGAGCTTGGAAGGGGGTGAAAAAGAAAAATCCTGAAACACACAGAGGGGAGCCCAGGGGTTTAGATGCCTGGATGCTTCATGGGGTATGCAGTGCTCTGGTTGCCGGGCCACCACCACTATCTACTGTTTGCGGATCATGCCCTTGATCGCTGACTCCCGGTTCACATATGTGGCCCAATAGACCAGATTGAATATGGCAAAGAGCACAGGAAAGATGATGCGGGAAATTTTGTCAACCTTGCTGACACTGTTGTAGGTCTTCGTCTCAGCAGGGCTGTCCTGCACATAGGTAGCCTTGGGTGAAGCAATAATTGTCGGAGTTGAGGAGGCACTGGGAGTGGCGCCCTTGGAGATGGTGGAGAACTCAGTGTCCTTGGCCAGGTTGATGGGATAGGTGGTCCCCACAATGTTGAAGGTGGTGCTTGTTTTCTTTGTTGGTGCTGCTGGTGTTTTCTTCTAGAGGTTGGGAAGGGGAGAAGAGGGGAGGAGGGAAGAATAAAACAGAAACTAATTAATTCATTATACACAGTACCTTCAGTGGCTACAGGAAGGAGGAGCTATGAGGGAAATTAAGAAACAGGGGCCATGAAGCCAATACATAGCCAGGATTTTGTCTAGGGTGAATTGAAGATGAGTTTGAAAACAGAAAACACACATCATCATGGCTCACTAGCTATGTGGCTTTGTCTGAGTCACTTCTCCTCTCGTAGCTCCAGTTTCTTCATCTGTAAAATGAAGATCAAAATAATTGGCAGGTTGTTGAGAGGATCAGATGATAGAATGGTGGTAGCAACCACAGGTTAACTACAGACTGTTAGTCATAAGTGGGGCCTTATATATTATATAGTTTGATAGATGAGAAAACTTAGCCTCAAACTAAATGTGTGAGCTCATACTAGCAACCTGGACTCTTGATTTTTATCCATGGCTGCATTATGCTGCTTTCTAGAGACATTTTGGGTTACCCAAGAAATAACTCCAAAAGAACATAATTTCTAAGTGGTATATCTTCCTTGAGGAAGAGAGCTTGGTGAGTCCGCAAAGTCATTTTGTCTTAAAGGCACAATAAATACTATGGTATGTATACATGCATCATTATGACAAACATCCCAGGCTTCATGCACTGTAATGTATTCAACAAGGTTGGGAACACACCAAGGTTTTCCACTCTTGCCAGATTTCATGCAGGAGACACAGCCTCGCCAAAGGGCTATGAAAATGACCTTTCTGAGACAGCAAAGGCAGAGACAGCAAAGGCAGAGACAGCTGAGGGCTTGCTATGGCATTGCCTTTTGGGCTTATGTTTCAGAGTAAAAACACCCAAAGTGGCAAAGGGAAGCAAGCAAACACACATGCCCATTTGTCCTCACATTATATGCACTCATGTACACATGGAGCCTCACTAGAATTCCCCTGTTGCTGAAGAAAAAAGAGGAGACAATATTTAGGCTTGAATCAGAACAGAGAAGCTTAGGGGCAGGGAAAGCAAGGGAGCAGGGCAGCCCTCATCTCTAGCCAAAGGCAGGGGCCTGGCTCATGGGCTATAGGCTACATGCTGCCTCATTCCTCACTCTAACCTATTCTCTCCTCCATCCCTCTTTGGCTTAGAAATGCTCCAATTTCATTTTTCAGCCACCTCACATTTCCTTTCTTGATGTTAATTTGCTTCTCAGAATTCAGGCTTTGTTTCTTTACTCCTCCATTTCCTACTTGTTTACATCCTAGCTGTCTCTATTCCTACCCTTTCTTATTGCCCCTTTCTCCTAATCTCTTTAATTTCTTTTCTTCTTTGCTTTAGAGTTCCCCTGATTTTATCTTTTCTCCTTTCAACCTCAGTGCCATTTACCTTCCTGATCCTAGTAATAACTTTTGCTCAATATTTACTAAATGTCTACTGGGTCAAGAAGGGTTAAGTGGAAAGGTTAAAAGGTAAGAGAGCTTTAGTCCCTGTCTTCTAAGAGTGCACAGGCCAGTGTGGGAGACAGCCTTATGAACACTGTCATAGAATGTAATCAGAGTTATAATAGATTTGAGCAAAGTGTTACGAGAATTCAATAAAAGGCGGGGGAGCAAAAACTAGGAGGTATAGGAAAAGGTGGCTCAGAGAAAGCAGTGGGTTTTGTGGTGTGGCTCACAGAAGATGAGCAGGAACTCATCAGATGAAGATGTACCAAAGGCCACTACATAGGCCAAGGGCAGTGTCTGAGGGATGTCAAGGAGTTTGTAGAGGCTGATTCACAGTGTGCATGGCAAAGAATTGCATAAACTAAGGGTGTGCAGACAGGAAGAGGTCAAATCCCAAAAGGTTCTATATGCCATGTTCTCCCACTCAGCCTGCCTATACTGATTTCAGTGTTTTCAATCAGGAAGGGCAAGCATCAAAGATGAGGGGGTGTTGATTTAAGAAAATGAACAGTCTGACTAGCAGAACATTTTAAAAGCAATGCTTTTTTTTTTTCTTTTTCTCTTTGAGGATTGCATCACATTGCTATAAGGGGAGGGTGGGGACAGAACTCTAGGGCTTCTAAGAACCTTGTAAATGCTTTAAATACTACATAAGACTCATTTATAATTAGCAAAGTCATTTTGTGAATAGATTCCTGCTGTTAAATGCTTTTGCTATTAAATATAATAGTGCTTTACTTGTTTGCCTGCTTACTTATTAATTTGTTTAGTAATCCTTTTTTTTAATAGGAATACCAAGAAAGAAAAACAAAACCACTGCCCTGATTTTGCTAGAAAGCTTTCATGTTATAAGCTGGTTATGACCAGGTCTCTGAAATAATAATTTGAACAACAAACACTTTCTTTAGCTCCATAGGTACTTTGTGTTCTATAGATGAGGAGAAGAAGGAATCAATCCAATCACACATATTTTTAAGAAAGGAAAATTATCTTTTAATTGTGCTCACCATTTCCAACAAAACATATATTAATCAGTCAGTGTATTTTTTACTGGCATTGTCAAGGAAGAAAATTAAAGCAAACGTTTTAGTATTGAGGAGGAGTTGCTTATTTTCTTGCAATTGAATTATATTGGTTCCCTATATGTTTGGGATTTTAATCTCTTATTACATTCATGGTTTGCAAATATTGTTTCCCATTCTGTAGGTTGCTTTTTCACTGTAGGTTGATTTCTTTCTTTGTAGTTACCATGAAACTTACATTACATTATAACATGCTAGTTTAGACTGATAAAAACTCTATACTTTGTGTTCCCATCTCCACTAATAGTTTGTTTTTGATTCCATAATTTGTATCTTTTTATATTGTTATCTTTTCTGTTTTAGATTTTTTATTGATTGTTTTAATTATACATGACAGTAGAATCCATTTTGATATAGTTATACAAAAGTTATATTTTAACAAATTCTCATAGCTGTTATTTTTAATAGTTTCATCTTTTAACTTTCATACTAAAGATGTAAGTGGTCTGCATATCACCATTACAGTATTAGAATATTAGAATATTCTAAATTTAACTTTTAGCAGTGTATTTTATACTTTCATATGTTCTTGTGTTACTAATTAGCAATTTTTCCTTTCAGCTTGAAGAACTTCCTTTTTCATTTCTTATAAGATGATTCTGGTAGTGATGAACTCCCTCAGCTTTTGTTTGTCTGAGAAAGTCTTATTTCTGCATTTCTGAAGGACAGCTTTGCATGATACAGTATTCTTCATTGTCATTTTTTTTTCCTTTGGCACTTGGAATTTATCATCACTCTCTCTTCTGGCCTATAAAATCTATACTGAGAAATCTACTATGATATATTGGAACTCCTTTACATGTGAGTTTCTGTTTTTTTCCCCTTTCAAGGTATTCTCTGTCTTTGATTTGCAATTGTTGACTATGATACATTTCAACTGAGTTTTGTTTGCAGTGAATCTGATTGGAGGCCTATGATCTTGTACCTGGATATTTATTGTTCTCCCCAGATTTGGAAAGTATTCTGCTATCATTTTTATTTAGATAAACTTTATACCCCATCGTTTTTCTTTTTCTTCTCAAACTCCTATGACTGTAGGATTTGCTCCTTTGACGCTGTCACATAAATCTTATAAGCTTTCTTTGTTGCTTTTTATACTTAATAATTTTTCTTCTCCAAATGTATATTTTCAAATAACCTATCTTCAGGTTCACAGATTATTTTTTCTGCTTGTTGAATTCTGTTGTTGATGTTCTCTATTTCATTCCATTTTCAATTTCAGAATTTGTTTCATTTTTTAACAAAATACTTTCAATATCTGTTAATTTGATATTTTTGTTCATTAATCATTTTCCTGATAACACTGAATTGTTCCTCTGTATTTTCTTGAAGTACACTGAGCTTTCTTAAACCAATAATTTTGAATTGTTTTTCAGGCAATTCACATATCTCCACTTCTTTGAGAGATTTCTTTCTGTGTGTTTCTTTTATGCTTTATTGTACTATTGCAGTAGAATATATCTTCCAATATTCCCCTAAAGCAGGATACCTGGGAGATGACATTTCTGTGTTCTTGCAGGCCTGAAAATGACTACTTTATATTTTCACTTAAGTGATACTTTGGTTATCAGTTGTTCCTCAGGTTTATGAGATTTACTGTTTCAGTGTTTTCTAATATCTAATATAGTTGAGAAATCTGTTTGTTATTTATTTGCAAATAATTTTTTTTTCTTTCTAGATAATGTATAGATTATCAATTTTGTTCCTAGATTTCTGAAATTTCATGAAGATGTGCATTTATGTAGGCACATAAAAACACTTATGGAGTCTGGAGTCTTAGGACTTTCCATGTAAATATTTCTGTATTAGTTCTTTCTTAATTTCTTTCCTTCCTGTTCATTCATTCTGTGATTTCTGAATTATATGAACTTCTTGGATTCTCAAAGTCTTGTACCTTAACTTTTCATCCCTACGTCTCTTACTTTTATGTTAACTCCCCTGCCTCCAGCTTAATGGGTGATTTTCTTCCTTTTATTTTTCTACCTCACTATTAAAATTTTTATTTTGGCAAGTATATTATTTTAATATCAAGAACTCTTCTTTATTCTTTGATTTTATTTTATATAGCATCTTGTTCTTTTTTAATGGAAAATATATACAAATTTATGGTGAAACCCAAGATATAAGTTGGATTTGTTTTTCTTAATTTTTTTTAAATTATTCTTTTATTTATTTATTTTTTGGTGCTGGGAATGAAATCCATGGCCTTGTACATGCTAGTCAAGTGTTCTACCACTGAGCTTCATCCTCAGCCCCTTCTCTTTAATTCTTGATATTATCTCTGTTCTCTCTTTCCGATGTTGTTGTCTTTTATTCTTTAAATCTCTGGTTCCTGTCTTACAATACAATTTGGCTTGGTGGTCCAAAGTGGGTCACAGGGTGTGTGTGCGCCCTGGAAGGGTACTCCTCATCTTCAGCTCCCCTCCCTGCCACTTTCTCTCCCTCCCTCTCTCTATTTACTGGCTACCA